GAGACTTCATGTCTGTTACGCTTGGCTCATTCCCTGCTAGGCTTTCCTTAATGTAAAAGGCAACCACCCACTAGCCCATTCCTGACAGTTCTTAGTCTGTGAAGCTCTGTGTAATTTAACTCTTGTAGGCCGTTTTCTATCATTTCAGACTCGCCATGAGGTTTAATTTTATCCTTTAGCCGGAACTCCTACTCCAAACTTGCATTTCTTTTTCTAACAACCACATGAGGTCATAACAACTGTGTTTACTAATAGTTTCTCAAGTTCCTCTTACTCATTGGCAACTATGTAGCCATCTAATCACCTTACAAATAACACATGACCAAGGGTTTTATCTGCCTTATCACACTTGTATGGTTTTTAAATGCAGTGTTTCCCTAGAACTTCTTAGAAATCAAATATTCAGTTTGGAATTTCTTCCACCTACTGACATACTTATTTTTAACTCCTGGTTTGGCCTTTGTTCAGAAGTGTGTCATAAAATGCATTAAGTCATGGCTGGATACGTACTCTTTTCCTGAGCAAGGAGGGAGGAATCCTATCTGTCATGCAAACTTTGTTTACCAGAGGGTCCCGTCCTGTAGAAAAACACTTCCCATACAACTGAAGGTGAATGCCAAAGACAACAGTGCCCAACCTTCCCACGGCCTTGGTTCATTGTCATGGTGATGGCTTGTGTTAAGGATCTCAGCAGGTGCGGGGAGTCTTTGGAATATGCAGAAATACTCTTGGCTTTGTGTAGGTTGCCTCCAGCTGGTTGGGACTTTCTACCGTGAACTTCTATTCAGTGATCCTGGATAGAGCCGATCTCCATTTCGGATGTCTCTTCCTCCCCCAAAGGGGGTCTGAAACTTTTTGAAGGAGACTGCCTCGTGTTGACCCTCTCTCTCTTTGGTACCGGGAAGGGGATGCTTCACTGGGTGGTGCATCATTTTACAATGAGAAGAGGAGGCACTTACTGATATATTTGGAGGGGGTGACAGTGATGATCCACCAGCTGGGGAGACATAAACAGAATCTGCAATAACCACTGTGGTTATAGCCGGAGAGTTCTGCTCCTGACACTAATTACACAAGCCCAGCTCAGGACGAATGTGCCCCAGGGACTAGAGGAACTCACCCCAGAGATAACTGGAACAGGCCCCGTTGCCTTGTCTTTGTTTCACTAATTACTGGGTCTTGAGGACGTTGGATCTGCAAGAGCCAGACCTGGAGGTGTTATTTATCAACCGACTGTATCTATTTAGAACAGAGACTCACCTCTTTCTACCTTGATTTATAGACCTATTAAGTTCAGCTGACATATTTCCTGCTAGAGACTTAAACTTCTCGCAGAGGGGACCCAGTCCCCAGGGCTGTGCCTGGGAAAGAGAAGGTATTCAATGTTTATTGAATGGACAAAGTGAAATGTGGTTATAGTTATGGAAAGATCATGAGGCGGTAGAACATAGGGTCAAACAGAGCTGACGGTCTCCTCATTTCTTGTGTAATTGTTACCATCTGTTGATCTCCAGCGAAGTGTCACAGTAAAGACAAAATATTTCTGGTCAAAGCCACCACTTTGCAAAAGAGTTATAAAATCCGCTTTTAATACAGGGAAAGGCAGATGCTCAGAGAAATTAGGCAACTTGCCTGAAACCACGGAGCTGAGTGAGTGGCAGGGCAAGTGGGTTCCTTTGTCTTGAAGGCCCTTGGGAACTCCCCCTGCATTGAGCCACTTCCCTAAAGTTGCTGGAGATGTACAGAGTGAGACTGGGGTTATGACTACACAATCCAGTAAATCAGGCCAAGTAAATCAGGTGGTGCTGGAAAGTACTAGAGAGTGAGCCCTCCATCCCCTTAAAGTTGCCATCCAGTCCTATGAGGCTGGTGCAGAGCAAAGGCCGTGGCTGGCTGTCTTCTTGGAGCATGGCAGCTGCATTGGGATCAGATCAGAGCCTTGGCACCATGTTGAAGGGTGGAGTCCCACAGGCTGCCAGCCATTCACACTGCCTGCCTCTTGCCTAGAGGCTCTAGAAGGCAATCAGAATAATCAAGTATCCGTGTTGAGTGGGTAAAAATCAACTTGCCTTTTCTCATCGAGGGAACTCAAAGTCAGTCCCTCTGAGACAGGAAAAATACAGATAGAAATTGTTCACTGGGGCACCTGGGTGGCTCCGTCGGTTAAACATCCAACTTCAGCTCAGGTCATGATCTCACAGTTTGTGAGTTCGAGCCCCACATCGGGCTCCGTGCTGACAGCTCAGAGCCCGGAGCCTGCTTCAGATTCTGTGCCTCTCTGTCTCTCTGCCCTTCCCCTGCTCATGCTATGTCTCTCTCTCTCTCCCTCCCTCCGCACCCCCCAAATAAATAAACATTAAAAAAATTGTTTGAGACAGCCAGTTCCCTCCCCCAGCTCTGCCGCAATCTCATTTCCCCCTGAAGACTGCAGGATGATTAGTAGGCTTTGGTTAGACCCCATGACCGTCATGGCCTTGATCTTTCACTACTGAATCACTGGGTGGAGCGGTGGTCTCTTTGCTCTGTCCCTAGACTGATCTTTCACTCTTGCTCTTCTCTGCTAGGGTCCAGAGTGCCCAAGTGCTCCCTTGTTTCATCTTCAAATCCCCAAACATGCTGTGTGTCACTCTTGTACCAGAGACTGTATGTAACCTGGGTAAAGACTCTCCGTCTAGGAAGAAGGTTTCTCACCTCCTTCTGTTCAGTCACAGGCACTGGATGAGTTATAGGAACTGATAACAATGTCCATAGATTCCTTTAAAAACTCTAGCTTGACAATCCAACCACAGCCTCTTAGCCACTGTTGCCTGTTTCTTCTCATTTATAGCTGTTTCGCTGCTGGAGAAGCTAGGCTGTTGGACAAGCAGCAACTAAGGAGTGAAGGGAGATGGGGACCAGGTGGCTTTGCGCTCCTTGCAGTCATGCAGAGCGCGGCAGCAGTCACTAGGGTGAGCTCAGAGGCAAGGGTTTAGGCTGCGGTTCAACCGTGACCTGGTCCCACAAACTTGGACAGGGTACTTAATCCTAACTTCCTTTGTCTCCAAAGCCAGAATAATAGCAGCACCCACCTCACCGGGTTCCTGTATGAATTAAATGAGATCATGATATAAAGCATTCAGTCCATGGTAAGTGCTCCTGGGACTATTATTATTACAGGGAGTACTGTAAGTACAGCTTGGTCCTGTAAAGAATATGCTAGAACTTGCCCCTAACTCTTAACCCATCAACATCTTCCATCCATTTCTTTGCTATGACTCTGCTGAGGTAAAAGTTCTCATAAAGGAATCTGCCAAGAGCTCACGGTTGAGGTAGGGATATATATATATATATATATATATATATATATATATATAATGTTTATTATATTATATATAATGTATTTATTATATATATAATAATGTACATATATATATATATATAAGGTTTATTTCTGAGGTGGTTAGGGCAGAAGGGAGAAGAGAGGCAGGATTCAGAGAGGGCTCTGCGGCTCAAACTCACGAACCCTGAGATCATGACCTGAGCTGAAGTCAGAAGCTTAACTGACTGAGCCACCCAGGCGCCCGGAGGCTGGGCTATATTAATTTGTTAAGGCTGTCATAACAAAGTGCCACACACCGGATGGCTTAAAATCACAGAAATTTGTTGTCTCACCGCTCTAGAGATTGAAAGTCCAGGATCAAGGTATTGCAGAGTTGACTCCTTCTGAGGGCTGTGGGGAGAATCTGATCATGACTCTGCCCTAGATTCTGGTGATTTGCTGGCAATCTTTGGCCTTCTTAGATTCTAGAAGCATCACCCCAGTCTCTGCCTTCATCTTCCCATGGCGCTTCTCTCTGTGTATGTCTGTCTATAAGTCCAAATTACCCTTCATATACGGACACAAGTCATATTGGATTAGGGCCCACCCTAATGACCTCATCTTCACTTGGTCATCCGTGAAGACCCATTGCCAAATAAGGTCACATTAGCGCCGTTGTAGAGGGCTAGGACTCCAGCATCCTTTGGGAGGGACCCAATTCAACCTGTAACACTGTCCTCACACCTGAGTCACTTAAACTTGTTGCTATTCAGACACCTAATATCCTGGCTCTTTCGGTCTCCAGAATCAGCTCTAATATTTGTTTGTTTGTTTTTTAATAGCAAAAACTTCCGAGGAACAGAGGCACCCGCAAAAAATATAAATTAAGGATTACTGGAGGAATTGTTCATCCCCACCCCCACCCCCCGTGCTTTAAATTTTTTTAAACGTTTTATTTATTTGAGAAAGAAAGACAGCGTGAGCAGGGGAGGGTCAGAGAGAGAGGGAGACACAGAATCTGAAACAGGCTCCAGGCTCTGAGCTAGCTGTCAGCACAGAGCCCCACGCGGGGCTCAAACCCATGAACCATGAGATCATTTCCGGAGCCAAAGTCGGCCACCCAACCGAGCCACCCAGACGCCCCATTCCCCCCTGTGCTTTAAAATGTTTGGATTCTTTATTTCTGTGACAGTGCCACATTCCAGCAACTCCGTGGCATATCGTATTATCTTTACTGTAGTGTGGTAAATGGCTGGGAAAGACAGAGAAAAATAAAAAACGTATCAAAAGATAGAGAGAAATGGCTCCATTAGAAGTCGACCAAATGCCTAATTCATGCAGGCACTTTTGTGTGTCTCTTATTTTTAGAATCCAAAATAATGACCTTTATCAAGATTTTGCGTTCTGGCCGGCCACCTGGCTTCTTTTTTTCCTTTTATTTTTTTAAAACTTTTTATTTTGGAATAATTTTAGATCTATAGGAAGTTGCAAAGATAATAGTGAGAAATTCCCTATGCCCTTCAAGGACTTTATCTCGGTGGTTGCACATTATATATCGACTACTTCTTTTTAAAGATGATTGTCTGCGCAACAATAGTATACCAGGATTATTTGCTGGAAAATCGGAGCTGACTCATCCCCCAAGCACCGCCCTTAAAGGAACCAGGCAGCACAGTGCCCCTGGCACGTTCCACGGTCTCCAGACACAGACATGAAGCTCTGAGCTCAGTGAGCTTCCTGATCTGATTTACCCGGCTCTTTTCCAGGAGGGAATTTCCACCAGCCAGTGCTGGATGCCGCAGTCCATTTGGATGAGACAGAAGGGGAAATTTCCAGGTGGGGACAGCGTCAGCCCTTGCCTGGAGGACACTGAGGATTTGCGATCGGGAGGCTCGTGTGCATTCTTGGTTTCATTCGGCTCCTTTTCATCGGTGGGCACCCGGAAGAAGGTACTGTGGGGGAATTGGAGAATGGCTGGCAGATGAAGTGGCTGAAGAAATCAGTTACATGTAAACTAGTGAGGGGGATGGCTTCTCGGAGCTCGGACTGGTGTCAGAGCCATCTGAAGGTGGAGGATTGACTCTTGCCGGGAGCCTGACTTGGGAGCAGGGAGTATCTGAGGGATGAGAGATGAGAGATACCAGGGAGCTGGGAGATGGCAAACGTCCGAATTTTAGCCAAAAGCCCACTTAGCTGTTCTGCTTCTGTTTTTCTAATGATAAAAATAAAGATTCTCAAGAGTTAAAAAAAAATACAGAAAGATATAAAAAGAAAATAAACCACCTGTAATCCTACCACCCAATAGTTTAAAAACAAAACAAAACAATAACAAACGTGGAATCTTTCTTGTATGAAAAACGCTCCTGGGTGGCTCAGTGGATTGAGTGTCCTACTATTGATTTGGGCTCAGGTCACGATCCCAGGGTCATGGGATCGAGCCCTGCTCCAGCTCTGTACTGCGCGTGGAGCCTGCTTAAGCTTCTCTCTCTACCTCTGCCCCTCTCCTCTGCTCACATGTGCACTGTCTCTCTCTCAATCTCTCTCAAAATTAAAATAAATAAATAAACAAATGAAACTGTTAACAAATTTCAACCATTTGGCTCAAGAAGGAAGTTAAGAATGGTTTCCTCTCTCGAATTCCACTTGCTGTACTGAAGCATCCACCCTTTGTTCTAATGGGATGTTGGGAAGCCACCCAGAATACTCCTATTGCTCTTGTTTGGAATAGTACCTTCTACCTCCTCCAATCCGTAATGGCCCATTGACTGACCTAAGTTAGGTATCGGGGATTATCAGGGATGGAGCAATGGAAGATGGAGCCCTTTTCTCAAGCAGGGGCTGGGCAGCAGATAATATCCCCAGTGGCATGGAGAGAACAGGGTGCTTTGGGAATAGGATGTAGGGTCGCTGTGCTAGCTTGCTAGGGCTGCCATAGCAAAGTGCCACATGCTGGTGACATAAACAATAGACGTTGATTGTCTCTATGTTCTGGAGGCTGCAAGTCCAAGACCAAGATGTCGGCAATGTTACTTCCTTCTGAGGACTGTGGGGGAGAATCTGTTCGGGCTCTTTCACGTGCTCCCTTGGCTTCTGGTGGCTTCCTGGTGATCTTAGGTGCTCCTTGGCCTATGGAAGTGTCACTCTGACTTCTGCTTTTATCTTCATGTGGTGTGTTCCTCCCACGTGTGTGTGTGTCTGTCTTTGTGTCTAAATTTCCCCTTTTTATGAAACCGCATAAAAACGTACTGGATTAGAGCCCACTCACGGTCTCATTTTAACTTCGTTACTTCTGGGAAGACCCTCTTTCCAAATAAGGTCACATTCTGAGATACTAGGGCTTAAGACTCCAACATATCTTTTTGGGGAAGACACAATTCAACCCACAGTAGTAGGCAACCATGACTGGGGACGAGTGGGCAGGGGCGGAGAGCGCCTGAGGACTTGGGTGTCATTGGTTATGTAGACCCCCTAGGCAGAGAGCCCAGAGAGGCAGATGGGAGAGGAAAGCAGCATCCAAAGCTGGAAGGGCCTTGATTCTCTCTAGGGAGCATGAAAGCTTTCAGCCTGAGAGGCCTGTGGTCACCAAAGTGTCACAGGCCAGCGCTATGGAAGATGGACTAGAAAGCCAAATGAGGGGGCCAGTGAGAAGGCACTTTGCGATCACCAAGGCACAGCCGATGAAGTTCAGCGTGCAGGATTTTGAAGGTACTTACCTTCTCTCCATTTGGTCATTCATGCTCTACATTAACTGAGCCCAGTACCTTCAGTCACAAAGAACACAACTGCTCCCTGCCCGCCTCTCCAGTGTCAGCCCCCATCCTGCTGTCCCATCCAACCAACTTCCTGTCATCTGCTCTGCCCCTACGGACCGGGTTCTAGAGAAGTCCAGGACTCACTTTGCTGCTTTCTGCCTCTGTGAGTCTACACAGCCCTCTGCCTGAATGCTTTGTCCCTGTTTATGTCCAAGGCAAACCCTTGGGCTAAATTCAAGAGGCGGCTCACACACGTGTTCTGTCCTCTGAGAAGCCCCCTGCCTTCCCCAGGGGGACTTTCTAGACAATAGTAGTAACTCTTACGACATTGGGTTGTATCTGTGTGCTGATGTGGCAGCTTGCTTCTAGCTCGTGGTTCTCAGGCTGGTTGTTCTTTTATGTCATCTGGAGAGAGAGACAGACAGACAGATAAGCAAACAAACAAATACTCTGATGCCAGGGCCCCACCTACATAGATTCTGAACCCAATGATTTCGGTAAGGGCCCTGTGGTTTTTGTTTGTTTGTTTTAAGTTCACATATTTATTTTGAGAGAAAGACAGAGAGACAGAGAGAGAGAGAGAGAGAGAGAGAATCTCAGAGCCCAAAGCAGGGCTTGAACTCACAAACCATGAAATCATGACTTGAGCCAAAATCAAGAGTTGGATGCTCAACTGATTCGGCCTCCCAGACTGGGCCAGCCAGGCACCCCTTGTTTTTGTTTTTTAAAGTTTTAATTAGTTAATTTATTGAAGTAATCTCTACACTCAATGTGAGGCTCAAACCCACCACCCTGAGATCAACAGTCACATGCGCCTCTGACTGAGCCATCCAGTGCCCCTGGGGCCCTGTGGTGTTTTTTTTTTTTTTAATGTTTATTTATTTTTGAGAGAGAGATAGAATGCAAGCAGGGGAGGGGCAGAGAGGGGGGAGACCAGAATCTGAAGCAGGCTCCAGGCTCTGAGCTGTCAGCACAGAGCCCAGCACGGGACTGGAACTCATAAACCATGAGCCAAAGTCAGATGCTTAACAGGCTGAGCCAGCCAGCTGCCCCTGGGGCCTGTGTTTTTTAAATACTCCCCCAGGTGATGCTAACGCATGACCAAGATTGAGGACACAGCTCCAGGCTAGCGGTTCCCACACCTTAGCTGCAGCAGGACCTTGTTCACTGGGCCACATCCGAAGTTGCTGGCTCACATCCAAAGTTGTTTGGAGGGGAGGTCTGAGAGTTTGCGTTTCTAACATCCTTCCAGATGGTTCCGGGAGCTACTGGTCCTGGGGCCGCCCTTTAAGGACCACCAGGGACCCCTCCTACTCCAGTAACCTCAGAATCTGCAGCGGGGCTTGTTAGCAGCACAGCCCGGTCCCACAGAACAGAATCTGATTTTAACAAGATCCCGGGATGACTCATGTGTGCATTAAGGTTTAAGGAGCACTGCTCCAGACAGTAAATTCCTCTCTTAGGAACCATGAAATTTCACTTTTACATAGATTGCACCCAGCACAGCCTGGCACACAGTAAAACGCTAAGTAAATATTTGCAAAATGAATGAATGCCCACAGGCACATTGAGTGTTTATTCCTGTCAATTGAGCGATTTAATCTGTTGGCATCTATATGTAGTCATGTACGCAGAGCAATGGGATTCAGTGGGAGCTCCCACATGAAAGATCCAGCCGTGGGCCTTGGGGAGAAGGACACAATGATTGCAGTATTTACCCACCTTTGAACCAAGATTCAGTGCATCCATTTCAGGCCAGGTCAACACTCCGACCCTGAGCATAAAATGTTGAGGAAGACTGTCCCTGACATGGAGGAACTTACCACCTAATAATCCTGACCCATTTGCTCATTTCTTGTTATGACCACACAGGCCAGATATTAGTACAGGAGATGGCAGGAGGGGGTTCTGTCCATGAGACGCCATCTAGAAGGTCCAAACCAGGGCTACCTATGGGGCTCAGCGGAGCACAGAGATCACCGGAGACTAGTCAGTACTCAGAAGGCCAACAGAGCAGGTAGGTGACACCTGGAGTGAAGGGCAGATGACAGGGCCACCATCCAGGTGTCAGGAACGGGACTTCCATTCTCAGAATGGGGACTGACTAGAGCAAAGCAAGGGGATTTCAAGTCTGATTCATGGTCAGCCTGTCAAGATAGAGAGAAAGGTGGGGAGATGGGCATGTAGGAGGGCACTTGTAGAGATGAGCACTGGGTGTTATATGGAAACCAACTTGACAATAAACTATTTGTAAAAAAAATAATAAAAGGGGGAGATTTCATTAAAAAAAAAAAGAGAGAAAGGTGGAGACCCAATTACTAAGATTGAAGAGAAGAAAGGTGGGACGCCATCTTGGGAATCAGAGAGAAACGCCACAGACCTAGCACACAAATGAGTTTTCAGAGCCAGATTGGGTGCCCCAGTGAGGAAGGAAGGAAGAAAGGAAGCAAAGGGGAGGGGAGAGGAGGGAAGAGAAAGGAGGGATCCTTGAAGGGTCTGATTTCCCAAATTCCCTCCAGTCCATAAGAATGAACCAAAATATTCCAGTTTGGTTCTAATCGAAAGGGAAGTAGTCCTCTTCTGCATCTATGACAGTTTCACTCAATCTAGAAAGTTCTATGGGAGCTGCAAAGAGAAGTCTTAGAGGGCCTGGAGTGGGAGTCAGGAGGGGGGAATGAGACTTAGAAATGCAGTCTGGTGACATGTGAGCACTGTAACAGGAGCTGAGAGTTGACAAAACCCAGGTGGTCAAGGGGCACAGGACAAGAGCCTTCCTGTGTGCCCTTTCATTAGTGTCGATTGGCCCACTAAGAGTGCCTCCAACCAGAAAAGCATTTAGGAGCCATTCCCGGTACAAAACTCTGAATTACCGAGGTGCCAACAGGCATCAGCCTTATAAATCTGTCTTTTATTATCTGGTTGGCTTAGCCAGGTCTCCAAAAGGAACAGTAAAGTTTTATGGTGTAGTTTAACAAGTAAACCTCTGAGTCAGGCTTTATCGTGGAAGAAATTTTCCCTGGTAGCATTCGAGGGCAGACTAGATCACCCAGCCCTTCCCTGATGCCCCAGGAGGGTGGGCTGAGGTTATACCGTTGAATTGAATAGATTTCTCATACAGTCTTAGTGAAGTGCCCTCTCTTCACTGTACATTTATGTGCATGCACACCCTTTGCCTTTTTATAAGAAGTGCAATTATAAAGACTCTCTGGTTGCTTGGTTGTTTGTTATTGCTTTTGTTTTTACCGTTGCAGTTTTTGTTTGTGTGTGTGCTTTTTTAATGTTTATTTACTTTGAGAGAGAGAGAGAGAGAGAGACAGAGCATGAGCAGGGGAGGGACAGAGAGAGAAGGGGACACAGAATCCAAAGCAGGCTCCAGGCTTTGAGGTGTCAGCCCAGAGATCGACGAAGGGCTCCAACTCACAGGGTGTGAGATCATGACCTGAGCCCAAATTGGATGCTTCACCAGCTGAACCACCCAGGCGCCCCTAATTGTTCTTTTTTAAGTTTATTTTATTTTGAGAGAGACAAAGCATGAGCAGGGGAGGAGCAGAGAGAGGGATAGCGAGCAAATCCCAGGTAGGCTCCGCACTGTCAGCACAGAACCCCATGAGGGGCTTGAACTCATGATCTATGTGATCACAACCTGAGCCAAAGTCAAGAGTCAGACATTTTACTGACTGAGACACCTCAGCACCCTCCTCCACTGTAGTTTTCAATTTCACTTTAGGGTGGTTAACTTGGTGTTTTCTCATTTTTTTGAAATAGTTTTTTATTGATACATTATTATTCAACTTCTCTTCAATTTATTTGTTCTTCAATAGAAATGCCATTTAAGTATATTTAAGTTACTTAAAATGTAAATAATTGTTTAGAAATATCTGCCAGAAAATAACAACTAATTTGGTTATTAATAATCAATAATTCAGTTATTACAAAAGAATGTAAGCACTCAAAACAAATAATGCAATTTCTGGAAGTAAATGGAGCCACGATTGGGGATTATTTCAGTCACAATGCCAATCATTTTCCCAGCTAAAATTCTGTTAGTGAAAGAGAGATTTTCAACTTGTGTTGTGGCATTTCAACTACTCAACAGGGTCCGCAGAAATCTAGAGTGGATGGTAGAAAATGAAAAGCAGGAATTCTGACCAAAAGAAAAACACAGGGGTGCCTGGGTGGCTTAGTTGGTTGAACATCTGACTTTGGCTCAGGTCATGATCTTGTGGTTCACAAGTTTGAGTCTCGTGTTGGGCTCTGTGCTGACAGCTCAGAGCCCGGAGCCTGTTTCGAATTCTGCGTCTCCCTGTCTCTCTGCCCCTCCCCAGCTCGTACTCTGTCCCTCTCTCTCTCTCTCTCTCTCAAAAATAAATGAAACATTAAAAAAAAATTAAAAAAAAAAATCTGGGAGTCATTCAGTTAGAGAGTGGGATCCAAAAACCATCACAGTACCCTGATCAAAAGTCCCATCCAGAATTAGTTTCTTCCATTAAAAACATGATTCTGTGCCTGACCTCCCAGGTTTTCATTTTCCCTGTTAACTCTCAGTCTGATTCATCTCAGGGTTTATTTGCCCCCAAAGCAAATTCCAGAATCATTTTGTCACTGATTCAATCTCTGATCTGTAAAAAACACTCATTAGATTATGCTTCAAAAAATGACTTAAATAGTTATAAGGTTTAAAAGCCCAATTTTAAAAGAATCTAGATGGAAACTTTTACGTCCAGATGAGAGTAGTTGCTTTCAAGGTTGTCTTCATTTGGTGTTACTGCTGAGAAAGTTCTGGGAACGTTTCAGAAGCCAAGTTGATTCTTTGAATACCTCCTGAGGTGCCAAATCTTTTTCCTTTGTTTGGAGTTTTGCTTTCCAGAAACAACATACAATTTATTTTTTGAGACATGTGGGTGGTCTGTTGGGCATCACTATTTGGTCCAATATCCCATTTGGACTCATGGGATGGATTTTCTTGTGTGGTTTGTAACTCAATTCTGAACGCAACCCCAGAAGAGTTTCATAGATGTTTCAAGCAAAGTTAAGATCCTAGGCAAGAAGTACATCTTCCCAACATGGCTGTTTTAGAGTGACATTTATCTGGTTAGAAATCACAATGCATCTTAAAGATGAATCAGTGTGAATTTACAGCCATGGTTCAAACACACACACTCGGCGAAGGCGAAATGCTTTAAGGCAAGACAAAGACAACCTTAAAGGGCTTTTACTTTTTAAAGTGAATGTTTTATTCTTGCTTAGGGAGAAAAGTCTTTGATGGCCTTCCCCAGTACGCACAGAAGATGAGAGATGAGAACTAGTTCATCACTCCCAGCGCTGCCATTTTTCAGAGACTCAGAGAGAGCAGAGAACAGAAATAAGGAGAATAACGCATGACTTGTGGTGAGTAGGGAGTGTGCTAACCCAGTTTGTGGTTCTGGAACAATGGTCTTTTTCCTCTCCAATATTTACACCTACAAAAGCAATCATGCTAAGAACTCCCCAAATCCTGCAATTATGACTTTAGCATCCTGGATAGTTCAGATTCCAAATATCACTTATAGTGGCTTGCATTTATATGCTGCTTTATGGTTTTTATAGGACTTTCTTGCATGGTCCTCCTGAGCATAGGCAGAGCAGGGAGCTCTGCCCATTTATTCCAAGACTGGAATATTGTGGGTGGGTGTTTCACTGGTTAAACGTCTCACTCTTGATCTCAGCTCAGGTCATAATCTTAGCTAGTGAGGTCGAGTCTTGCATTGGGCACTACACTGACAGTGTGGAGCCTGCTTGGGATTCTCTGTCTCCCTTTCTCTCTACCCCTCCCCCACTCACACACGCATGTGTGCACCTGCACCTTCTCTCTCTCTCTCTCTCCTCTCAAAATAAATAAACTTAAAAAAATATAGAGAGCTAGTGAAGCACAGAGGATGGAGTGCTTTGCACAAATTGCACAACTAGTTAGCCCTGATACAGGTTTCAGACTTTGCATCTAATTAACCCCAAAGCTAAGCTCTTTCATGGCAGTAGGCTCCCAGAGTTGAGTTAACATCAGCATAGTACCGTGCATTCCAAAGTTTGCAATGAAAAAAATCATGTAGGGGTCTGGTTGGCTCAATTGGTTAAGCCTCCGACTTGGGCTCAGGTCATGATCTCACGATTCATGAGTTCAAGCCCAGCATTGGGCTCTGTGCTGACAGCTCAGAGCCTGGAGCCTGCTTCGGATTCTGTCTCCCCCTCTCTCTGCCCTTCCCATGATATGCTCTGTCTCTCGATGATAAAGATTTTTAAAAAAAGAAAAAGAAAGGAAAAAATCATATATGAGCCCCCCTTAAAACATAATGTATTTTGAAATATATTAGGAAAACCTGAACTACAGCTATTAGCACAATGGATATCTGTTAGCATACTCTCCGGCTGAACAATGAAACTGTTTCTGCTAGAATTTAAGTTTCTTTTCCAATCCTTCCCCACCTCATCCCTCTGCTTCCCCAGGAGTAGCCCCTCTGCGGGGGGAACGTTTGAGGGGTACTTTCTACTTGAAGACAATTTGGTAGAATGACTCTCAAGTGTAAAGGGCCTTCTCTGACATTCTAACCTGTACTCACCTGCCTCCTTGTGGGTTGACTGGGTCTGGGGTTGGGGGGTGAGAGGAGACTTGAGGTCTTGCAGGAGCCATGACCCAACTAGTGCACTAGGGGTGAGTTAACACTCCTCAGTGTGGACCAGGTAGGAGAGCAAAGGGAAGAGGGAAATGCTGCCCTCCCCAACCCCAAGTACTGAATTGAAAAGGTTGTCCCCCAGCACCCAGTTTCATTCTTTTTTAAAAAAATTTTTAAATTTATTTCTGAGAGAGGGAGACAGAGAGAGAGTCAGCGTGAGCAAGGGAGTGTCAGAGAGAGAGGGAGACACAGAATCTGAAGCAGGCTTCAGGCTCTGAGCTGTTAGCACGGAGCCCGACGTGGGGATCAAACTCACGAACCATGAGATGATGACTTGAGCTGAAGTCGGACACTCAACCGACTGAGCCACCCACGGGCCCCACCCTAGTTTCATTCTTTCCCGAAAGGCACCTGGAGTAGAGTCAGGTAAGTGAGGCCAGGGAGCCTCTTCTCATTTTTGTTGTCTTGTTCCCTCCCTCACTCTGGCATCACCGCTCCACCTACCCCACGGGCACCCCGGGTGCCCACCCTCCCTTGCCCATCTGCCCAGAGGAGGCTCTCTCTCCCCATGAACCAGCCAGGCTCTGCCTCAATGTTTTTGTTTGTTTTTGCCTCCACTGGACATTATCAGCTCTCACTTCCGCTGTGTCTTTCAAAGTGATCATTTTGTAAACTGAGCTGTGGGGAAGGGAAGGGATTAGGGACACACCATAAAAGGAGTGTTTGTACATTAGAACAGTAGTTCACTGCCTTGGCCATCCCTGCCTTGCAGGAATGTTTTAACAGGAGGGAGTTTCCCAGCCTGGCTTAGAGAAAATAGTTTGAGGGGGTGGGGGTGGGGTGGGAGAGAGCTTCATCTGTAAACAGTTCCTTAGGATGTCAGTCTAGTGAAGAGGGAATAGCGCTCAGGATGCACACTTATGAAGAGCCTCAAATTTGCGTCCTTGATGTTCCCTCCAAAGAATGGTCCTGAAGATAATCTCATGGTAATAAAAGATGTTCTTCATACAACTTCAAAGCTGTCCATTCGCAGATCACACATGCTATGTATCAGGCACCATGGACTGTTTTTTTAATGGGTTCTGTAATTACTACTTGATTCTGAAATCTGATTTCAGCATAATTATGTTCTATTCATTTGTTAAATGTGTACATTTAAAATACTTCATGTTTGAGGTTCCTGGGTGGCTCAGTCGGTTGAGTGACTTCAGCTCAGGTCATGATCTCACAGTTGTGGGTTCAAGACCTGCGTTGGGCTCTGTGCTGACAGCTTAGAGCCTGGAGCCTGTTTCAGATTCTGTGTCTCCCTCTTTTTCTGCCCCTCCCCCACTCGTGCTCTGTCTCTGTCTCTTTCTCAAAAAATGAATAGGCATTTAAAAAAATAATAAAAAATACTTCATGTTTGTGGCGGCACCCAACTGGCTCAGTTGGAGGAGCATATGATTCTTGATCTCCAGGTCCTGAGTCCAAGCCCCATGTAGAGTGTAGAGATCACTTAAATAAACAAACAAGCAAACAAAAAATACTAAATGTTTGTGGAATTAATTTTTCCCAATTTTTATTTTGAAATATTGAAATTTTCTGGGAGAGTTGAAAGATAATGCAATGAACACACATCCTTCATCAACTTCATCAATTGTTAACAGTTTGCCGTTGTCTTCTCTGTTACTATGTCCATACACACACACCCATATATTTACCTTCTCCTGCTTACTAAATCGTAAATTAAGTTGCCGAAATCATGGCACTTCACCCCTAAATATGTCAGTACGTAACACTACAGAATAAGAACATTTTCCTAATAACGGCCATGCTATTCCCATACCATACCAAAGATACATATCATCAACAAATGGGGTTATGCTCCACCCCGTTGAGGTGGAGTATCTATGAAAATGATTCCAAATTCTCTGCTCAGAATTTGTCTCTTCTCTCCCATTTGTTTGTGTTGTGTTAAATTAATTAGACAAGGAGACCATTGAACTGAGGCGAGTCTATTGTCGTGGTGGCCTATGTAAGCAAACCCAAAATCTAAGCCTGTAAATACCTCAAAGTTACAAAATTGAAACCTAAGGGCAGCCAACTAATCACAAATAGCCAAGAAGGCTTTATACTGGAGCCAATCCATAACTTCCTGACTCTGTTTCCTCCAGAGCTCGTGTGGGGGGAACACTCCTGACCGTTACCACCATTTAGGTGTTCCCTGCCTGATTCTAATTGATTTTTTTAAATGTTTATTTTTGAGAAAGAGAGAGACTGAGTGTGAGCAGGGGAGGGACAGAGAGAGAGGGAGACACAGAATCCAAAATAGGCTCCAGGTTCTGAGCTGTCAGCATGGAGCCCAATGCAGGGCCTGACCTCAGGAACCAAGAGATCATGACCTGAAGTGGGATGCTTAACTGATTGAGCCACCCAAGCGCCCCTCAAGTTGATTTTAGTTCAAACAAACTCTTTAAAAAATTTATCTTTGAACAGTTTTCAAGTATTTATTTTTATTGGTATGGTATCTTGAGATACTCATTTTATTCTCTGGCTTATAATCCAGTACCATTTTATTTATTTGGCTACAAATTGTTCCAGCTTTGGCCATAGTGTGGGGGCTCCTTCACTTGTTTCTGGGACCCCTCTGATACACTCCCATCATTGTGGGGTTTCTTTAATAGAAGGATAAATCTAATTATTTAATTATTTATTTGTTAATTATTTTTATTTTAGCAAGAAAGAGAGAATGTGAGTGAGGGAGAGGGGCAGAGGTAGAAAGAGAGAATCCCAAGTAGGCTCTACACTCAGTGCAGGGGGGTGGGGGATGGGGCTCTATCCCACAACCCCGGCATCACCACCCCAGCCAAAACCAAGGGTCAGATGCTCAACAGACTGAGCCACCTAGGCACCTGAAGGATACGTTTAATATTTTAAACAACAATGTCACTTTGCACATACGAATTGTAAAATCTGAAAAATAGAATCCTTTTTGAAATTGTTCAAGTACAGTGGACACACAATGTTGTGTTAGTTTGGATGTACAATGCAGTGCACTCACAATTTCATGGTGGGGTTTTTTTTTAATGCTTTAAGAAATGCTTTGAGCTTTTATTGACTGTTCCGAGGATCAGTCCATTTCAATTTGTGCATAATTCTTAACATACACCAGCAATCTAAAAAAATCATGTGGTTGTGATTCTTCTCCAAAAGTTACTCTTGTGACCTTCCAGCTTAAAATATGGAGGCAAATTTTCCTTAGCAGGATATCAAGTACTAATATCCTCAGATGTTGATGTCCTGTTATGTTGTAAGTCCCATGAATTCACGATTTAATATCATATACTCTGCATGCTCAGATTTTCAATCTTGCCCAGCACATTAACAAAGTTAGCAAACAACTGGGTTACCACGGCCAGGATGTTACAGACTGCACAAAATTCTGACAGAGGGGGCCAAGGTCAAGGAGTGATTTAATTTAGGAAACAGTTCTACCAAAAACAACAGGGAATCAAAGTAACTTAAAATGTTCAAGACATATTAAATGCACGATCAACTGCAAATTACCATTTAGTCCACTTGGTATTATAGGATATAAAAACCATGCCCTCTATGGAATGTTAACACCCAAGACAATCAAAGCCTTCCACATGTGGGGTGCCTGATGGCTCAGTCGGTAATGCGTGAGACTCTTAATCTTTTGGGTTGTAAGTTCCAGCCCCATGTTGGGTGTAGAGATTACTTAAAGATAAAATCTCAAGAAAAAAGCTTCCCATACTCAATATCTATACCAAAAAATAAACCACCAGCCAATGATTTTACCTCTTAAAAAATAACATTTACACCTTTTTAAAGTTTATTTATTTTGAGAGAGAGCAAGCAGGGGAGGGGCAGAAAGAGAAGGATAGAGAGGCTCCCAAGAAGGGTCCACAGTGTAGACACAGGGCTCCAACTCACTAACTGCGAGTTCATGACCTGAGCTGAAATCAGGAGTCAGACACTTAACCGACTGAGTCATCCAGGTGCCCCTAACATTCACACCTTAAAAACAGGATGAAGTAGGGTCGCCTGGGTGGCTCAGTCGGTTGAGCATCTGACTTCGGCTCAGGTCATGATCTCACAGTTCATGGGTTCAAGCCCCATGTCGAGCTCTGTGCTGACAGCGATCTCAGAGCCTGGAGCCTGTTTCAGATTCTGTATCTCCCTTTCTCTGACCCTCCCCTGCTCATGCTGCCTCTGTCTCTCAGAAATAAATTTAAAAAAACATTTTAGGGGCGCCTGGGTGGCTCAGTCGGTTGAGCGTCCGACTTCAGCCCAGGTCATGATCTCGCGGTTCGTGGGTTCGAGCCCCACGTCGGGCTCTGTGCTGACAGCTCAGAGCCTGGAGCCTGTTTTGGATTCTGTGTCTCCGCCTCTCTCTCTCCCCCTCCCCAGCTCATGCTCTGTCTCTATCTCTCAATAATAAATATTAAAAACAAACATTTTAAAAAGTTAAAAAGAAAAACAGGATGAAGTGGGATCCCCTCCTTCTTAAAAATGTTTCTTTGCAATCACAAAATAGTTGATCAAGATATTCCTCCCAATCGTACAAGAAGGGGGCCAGGGACCACTGGTAAGATGTGGAATATGAAACTCATCAGACCTGGCGTCATCAGAGGCTGTTCTTGGTTTTCTGCAGGTAAGTCTTCTTTCATGTCTTTGTTCACCACTTCAGCCGGTTTTCCCTTCTTCCCTATTGTTCGCATTTTTTTGTCTGAAGATTTATCCTTTCCTGCCACCTTTTTTGCCTTAGTTTCCACATTTGCAGGAGCAGGGTTAGCGGGCAGACCCCTCTGTGGACCTCCCCTTCCTCCAGGGCATCAGGGTAGCAGGGCAGGTGCACCAAGAGCCTTCTCGAAGCTGGGGCTGCCTCGCCGCTGCCACCCCTCTAGCCTCCCATCATGGGTTCTTTGAGTAGGTTTTGTTTTGCTTTGAGCACTTTTTTGCTTTCTGGCATAGGAAGCAGCTCTAGGGGCACCCGGAGGGGCTCAGTTAGTTGAGCATCTGATTTTGGCTCAGGTCATGATCTCATGGTTGGTGGGTTTGAGCCCCGCGTCCGGCTCTGTGCTAACAGTTCAGTCTGGAGCCTGCTTCGCATTCTGTGTCTTCTCCTCTCTGCCCCTCCCCCATTCCTGCTCTGTCTCTGTCTCAAAAGTAAATAAAAAATGTTAAAAAAAAATTTAAAAGAAGAAGAAGACGAATCTCTGGCTCATCTGGTATATATTCTGCCTCAGTCCTAGAGTCAGCCATTTCTCTAAGGCGCTTTGCTTCCTTTTACTGGAAAAGGAGATTAGAAACCAAGATTTAGGTACCACACATGCTCGTTGCTACTGAGGTGTTATTCTTAGACCCCCCTCAGTTGACAGAGCAAGGAAATGGGTGTGTGAGTACTAACCGCTGCACACACACCGCTCTGTAAATATTTCTATATGCAATCAGCTGCATGGACATGAAGCTAAACATTAAGCATAAACATGCTGACGTTTCCAGCTCTAACCCATTATCACATGGATGGTTCTGGCCTCCTCCCCTTGCTTATCTGCAACCTCTCATTCCAACAGTGACAAGCCTGGCTCCTGCCTTCTCCCATCTACCTGCCTGTTCATTGGCTTACAAAAAAAATTTTAGGGGCGCCTGGGTGACTCAGTCAGTTAAGCCTCCGACTCTTAAATTTGTCTCAGGTCATGATCCCTAGGGTTGTGGCTCTGAGCTGAGCCCGAGATTGGGATTGTTGAGATCCTGCATGGGATTCTCTCTCTCCCTCTGCCCCTCCCCCACTCCCGTGTGCATCCTCTCTCTCTCTCTCACTCTCTGGAGTAAAGGGGGAAAAAAGTTCTAGTGTTAGTATCCATTTCTGCCATTATTCTTTCTAAGGCTTTAGTTACCCCAGATGTGGCCACCGGGACCCCTCCAAGCGGTCTCCATTCACACATCTCCATCTTTGAGCATCTCATTGCTTTTGGCACAAGAAGATATTCTAGCGCTCTCAACAATAGCTAACACATGGAAAGAGCCTCAGTGTCCATCAACTGACGAATGGATCAAGAAGATGTGGTTTATCTATACCATGGAATACTACATGGCAATGAGAAAGAATGGAATCTGGCCATGTGTAGCAACATGGATGGACCTTGAGGGTGTTATGCGGAGCGAAATAAGTCAGGCAGAGAAGGACAAATATCATATGTTTGCACGTATAGGAGGATTAGGAGGAACTTAACTGAGGACCNAGGAGGATTAGGAGGAACTTAACTGAGGACCGTGGGGGAGAAGAAGGGAGGAAATGGTGGGGGAGAGGGAGGGAGGCAAACCATGAGAGACTCCTGAATGCTGAGAACAAACTGAGGACTGATGGGTGTGGGGGGGAGAGAGGGGATGGGCATGGAGGAGGGCACTTGTGGGGATGAGCACTGGGTGTTATATGGAAACCAATTTGACAATAAACTATTTGTTAAAAAAAAAAAAGAAGAAGATATTCTAGACTCAACTGGGCTTTGTCTCATGCATGAACTTAGCCAGATCTTCAAGGATCCCTAATTCCTTTTAGTAGAGAAATTGTTATTTATTTTAGAGATTATTATACGTGGGGAACAAGATGAGGGTGTTTAGTTTGCTAATTACCACTAGGTTGTTTCCTGCTTTGTTTTGCTTTGCTTCACAGCCCCTTCAGTGGCCAGAGCTCCTCATATCTACGTAATGAGCTTTTCGTGATACTTCCAGTTCAAACCCAAATCCAACACTAGAGAATTTTCCTTCATTTCACCTTTCTATATTCCTTCTCCCACGGTGAGAGCGCTAGTTCCGAGCAGTGTCAGGATATTTACAGGACACACGTATTTTCAAAAGCGCCCCATTTTAAAATATACCTGAGCCTTAAAAAATGGAATTGCTCAAGTTTCCCTCAGTCTTTTAGAGGCCCTGCTTGAGATCCTTCTCACATAATACAGGGGAGGCCAGCCTGATTCCGTCTACATTTGGGCGGGTCCTGATCCATCTGGCAGCAGAAAATAGGAGATAAGCTAGCAAATGTCAGAGACACCATTGTCCCTCGGATCCAGAGCCTCTTGATGTTATCATGTCCTCTTTATTCCCCATATATTGATACATATTTTTCAATTCATTTAACTTAATTTTTTAATGTTTATTTATCTTTGAAAGAGAGAGACAGAGCATGAGCAGGGGAGGGGCAGAGAAGGAGGGAGACACAGAATCGGAAGCAGGCTCCAGGCTCTGAGCCGTCAGCGCAGAGCCCATTGCGGGACTCGAACCCACGAACCGTGAGATCATGACCCAAGCTGAAGTCAGACACTCAACCGACAGAGCTACCCCAGATGCCCATCAATTCATGTAACTTAAATTCTCACATAAATGTAAAAAGGCAGCCCCGACTTTGGCAGGGCCTGTTTGGCTCTGAATTGAAACAGTACCACTGGCATTATATCCAGAAACTCTGGACTAAGCCAGGGAAGTCCTGTGAATCACACCAGCAGGGTCTGGCTGAGCCTTAGGAAGCTTACAGCTGCAAACGTTGGAGGATTAGGGAGCATCTTGGAGAAATCTAATGTCATGGGGCCACTGGGCTCACTGGAGAAATGACCAGAAACAGCGGAGCACCTGGGGATGAGCAAGGTTTTGAAGGGTTTGGGAAAATCCACAGACAGAATGGACAGTGATCTCATGGGACTGAAAAGTAGGCCAGCAGGATAAATTCTGGTTTTTCTTTCATCTTTCTTTCTCCCCTTCCTTCCTTCCTTCCTTCACGGACTTCATGTGCTGCGTTGAATAAACCATATTCTTCCACAGCTCATTGTCAGCACGAATTATGCAAATTTGTTTTCCTCCTTCTTGCCACACAGCCACCCCAGTGATCTTTACATATTTCTTAAATGTATTTTAAAGAAATTTTTTAAATGTTTTATTTATTTCAGAGAGAGAGAGAGAGAGACAGTGTGAGCAGGGAAGGGTCAGAGAGAGAGGGAGACACAGAATCTGAAACAGGCTCTAGGCTCTGAGCTAGCCGTCAGCACATAGCCCGACGCGGGGCTCGAACCCATGAACCGTGAGACCATGACCTGGTCTCGAGCCGAGGTCGGAAGCTTAACTGAGCCACCCAGGAGCCCCAAGTTTATGAATTTTGAGAAAGACAGAGATAGCATGAGTGTGGGGGAGGGGGGGTGGGGCCGAGAGAGAGACAGAGAGAGAGACAAAGAGAGAGGGAGAGAGAGAGAGAGAGAGAGAGAGAGAGAGAATCCCAAGCAGGCTTCGTGAGGTCAGTACAGAGCCAGAACCCAGGAACCATGAGATCATGACCTGAGCCAGAGCCAAGAGTCAGCCGCTTAACTAAGTGAGGCACCCAGGTGGGTTATGTCCCTTCTAATGAGGCTGCTCTGTGTTCTTACCAGCAAGCTTGTCAAATGCTCAGTATTGAATTTGCTACATCTGTGTGGATTTCCTTAAGGAAGATACTGGTGAATTTGGGAAAATGCCATTGGTGCCTACTTGGGGACAGGGCAGAGTGTCACCAGCCACCAAGCAGAGGAGTAGAAATCAGGCCCCGCCAAAGCTGGCTAATTTGCTGACATGTTCGCTTTGCAGGGAGTGAGGGAGGGAGAGTGCGAACAGGGGTGGGGATGGGTGAGTAGGGATTCAGGGTCAGAGGGAATTCTCTCTTTTTTTTTAATGTTTATTTTTGAGGGGGGAAGGGGTGGAGAGAGAGGGGGACAGAGGATATGAAGCGGGCTCTGCCCTGATGGCTGCGCTAAGTTGGACGTGATGTAGGCATCCTGTGTTGTATGCAGTATAGTAAATCTTTAAATGAACTCAAGCTTTAAAATTCTGTTTTGAAAAGAAAATTTTTGAGAATTTTGCAAACAGCTCTAAACACAACCCGGGTGCCATAATCTACACATGATTGTCACTGGTTATCATTCTAAATGACATCTCAAAGCAGGACAACCATACTAATGGGCTGATTATGAGCTGGGGGTGCTAATGGCCATTCTGGTTTAGGTCTGTTGTCCTAACCTAATTATTACTGGCGCCTCTGGTCATTCCCAGGAGTGTCTCTGTTGAAGATTATGTTGCTGCAGCGGCGGCGCCCTCTAGTGGCAAAATGGTGGAAGTGGGAAAAGTGGAGAAAAGTAGGCTTTGGCGAAATGCATCCAGCAATCAATTTGTATCCATTCCAGGGTGTAAAAACTGGGGCTGCAAAAAAAGATATCCAGTCTCCTAACAGTCTCATAGAAATAATTAGATCATTCTATCCAGAGGTATGAAACAAGAACCTCACAAATGATGAGGGTTTTTTTTTATTTGCAGTTATTGGCAACATTTAAAATATTGCCCAAATCCAGGAAACACCTGAAAAACGAACATGCAAAGCACTGTTGCTAATGGTATCTGTGCTATAACCTTTCAGGAAAGTTCTTCCGCAGTCGGTTTCCAAATGTGATGTGTTAATATTGTTTGACCCGGGGAATTCTATCAGTGGGAGGTTTTTAAAGGACATATGAAGGGTCCAAAGATGTATTGGGGGAATGATTATAGTTCAAAAGTAAATATCTGAAAACAACCAATGTTCCCCCAAAAACAACTGATTAAATAAATATGGTTCATATATTTAATGGAATATTGTCAGTCTATACTTGTCAATCAGTAAACTGTTGAGGGAAAAAATTATGGTACAGAATAAATATTATAACTCTGTTTATTAAAAATATGGACCTGGGGGCGCCTGGGTGGCTCATTTGGTTAAGCATTTGACTCTTGGTTTTGGCTCAGGTCATGATCTCATGGTTCATGAGTTTAAGCCCCACATCGGGCTCTGGGCTGAGTGAGGAGCCTGCTTGGGATTCTCTCATTCCCTCTTTCTCTGCCCCTCCCCTGCTCATGTTCTCTTTCTCTCTCACTCTCAAAATAAATTTTAAAAACTTTAAAAAAATGTGTGTCTGAACATACGTTCTTACACACACACAACACACACACACACACACAGGAGGATATCTTCAAGGAAAAATACCAGGGGTACCTTGCTGGCTCAGTTGATGGAGCATG